AGGCAGCTGGACTGCAAACACTGGCTGTCAATTCATAGGTCATCATCCTGTGTCCTAGACACTGGGTTAAACATGCTTTCTGACAACATGCAAATAAATTTACAGCCACATAATTGATAATTACAGATAATTAATTAGGAATGTATTTTCACGCAGAATCAATGGAGATAAAGGTGACTATCTGCACGCAACAGCAGCTCCACTGGAAGACATAAGAAACCTTCCACATGGAGTTGCTGTTACACCCAGTCAGCACCAAATCTTTGGAATGTGTCCCCTTTGGACAGCGGAAGGAAGTGCACATATTCCCTCACAAATGTAACAGAGTCAGTGTCCCATTCTCACTATACAGGGTAGTTCTTCAAGTTTTCTAAAGATAAATAAATAAAAAGAAAATAAGAAGATGCCAAAAAAGAAGAAGAAGAAGTGGTGCCACCTGAAATGAAAGCATAGAAAACCAAGTTAGAGGGTTAAATCAGGATTCAGACAATGGCTAATGACTGCCATTAAGGACATGTGAGAGTTTCTCTGTTGGTTCATGACTTTGACCTCTTGTTTCTTTCTCATCTTTATGACATGCCATAGACTCCATTATTGGCCAACAGCACGTCCAAAGTGCTAAGACTGATCTTGATAACAGCAATTTTATGACGGCAGTCAACACGAGGGTGCTCGGCAGAATTTGTGTATGGACTGAGAGAAAAAAGGGTGTGCCGCTCAATAATTGATGTGCCTTTATGTCCCTAAGTTTTAATTTTGTAGATATCACTTCCTTTTAGTCATGAGTTACCCATCCCACATGCTCTATCATGTTCTTTCTCTCTTCTTGGTTTCTTAGTTTATATCATATTTTAGACTTTGCCTTGCTGTAAACCTTCCTCTGCTTCTTGCTACCTTTGGAAAAACAGCATAATAAAGCAATTAAAGGGGGCACACAGCACATGAGTCAGTCTGTGTTATCGGCTCTTGTTATCATCTTTTGAATCCACCATTATCTTTCTCATCCCTGCGCCGTATCCAACATTTGTGTAGGGTGAGAGAAAATCAATGGCGTGAACTCATGTAGGTGGTTCATTTTTATGACAATTCCCAGTTGCTGAACTTGATATCAGAGTAACACTCACATGTATTTGATCAAATCTACTTTGTAGAAAAGAAAACAACAGCAAAAAATTTGACATGACAGTAGTCTGCGATTGTTGTATAAACAGATTGAGTCAACCTAAGACTGCCATTTATTTGCATTTGAACTTCAGTTATCTGCAATTTGCTTCATTTAATGAACACATTTTAAATATCTTTCTAAAACGTACGCCCCTTGTGATTGATTTGTAAGATCCTGTTCTTGGAAAGTAATGTTTCAAATGTTTGAGGGCCGAGCACAAGCCTTTTACATTCTTTTCTTATCCTCTTTAAAAGCATTAGCTTGACTTAGACAATGCGGGTATATTTACATTAGAATATTAATCTAGCCTTTTACAAACAAACAGACAGATGTTAATGCAAATTCCTGCATGAATCAGCGTAATGGCAGAGAGGCGAGGCAAAGATGTGAACCTCCATGATTTTTCTCAAAAATTACACACTCCATGTTCCTCACATATGTACCCAGTACTTTATTTTCAAGAAAGAGTTACTTACATTCACAGTTCTTCCTCGTGGGTGTCCAGGTTTTTGGAGCAAGATGTATCAGGGGAAAAAATTATAATGTATGAAAACAAAAGAAACCTTTTTCTAAATATAGAGATTAAAGAATTAACAGAAGCAAAGTAAAATATGGCTATAAAAAATAAAAAATGAACTGAAAACAGCAAAGTTAGTGACAGCATCACAAGAGAGCAGGCAGGTGAGAGGGGAGCGTCGGTCAGCAGTGCTATGTCAGGCCGAGAGAGGCCAGTTTAAAAGTGATTTGAAGTTTAAGCTTAGTTAATAATTATACTCCTTGTCAATATTTAACATCTTTTTGGCCCTGCCCCTCACATCCAACATCCTGGACTCCTATGGACTTACACACAGACTATCTCAAGACCCTATTTTGTATGCTCTTAGGTACATTTATAATTTTTTCAAAGAAACACATTTCATTCAAATGGACTATGCAGATGTTGTGGGCAAAATAAGCATTCAATTCTTAAGTCCTGCAAGTTTAGTTTATTATAAATATAATGAACCACTCGGGGGTGCAGTTTTATTATAATTTACTATATAAAGAATCAGAACATTGCTTGTTGAATATCACGAAAACTACTTTAAAGTCTTATTTTTGCATCATATGGCTGTGGCATAATCATATGGCATATTCAGCCACTGAGAGTTGCTAAGGCTTGATTTATAAATCAGCAAATGTGATGTAGGTCAATGTCTTAATTACTGGTAATGGCACAGCATGAGGTAATGCTGCATGATTAGAATAGATAAAATAGACTATGGACTCTAAACATTGATCAAAGAATGAAAAACAAGAAGGCTTTATAACAGGATAATAAAATGCTCATGAGAGAGGGTTAATTATTGCCATTGTTAGGCTAAAGAGCACAGAAGTGCACACTATGTGAAGGAATTTTGATTGTCAAACACAAGAATGGTGCGTCAATTAATGTACCACGACAAAATACTCCATCTAAGCACATAATATAGTACCTCAGGCAGGTGGAAGTCTGGGTGTAAATGGTCAAAATCTCCTTGTGTTTCTTGTGATAAGAGTTTTGGGATCGGACTTCCAGTAAAAAGAAGAAAAAAAAATCCAGACACACAATTTAACATTGTACTCAAACTGTTGGAAAATGCTTAAAGAATTATAGTACGCCTGTACGATAAATACATTTCAGGATATGTAATGTAATGGTTGTGTTTCTGGGGTTAATTTCAGCTATTTCCCTCACTTTAAAGGAGGAAATGAAATCTTTCCAGTGGTTACGACCTTGTTATAGCGTACAGGGTCAACTCACAAACATGCAATGTTTTATGGCTTTCAAAATTTACCAGAACCATACAGGAAATGTTGAGGCTGTTGTCCTGCATATAAAGCCACACTTCTGGTTCTTTAATCGCAAGTCAACAGTCAGTTATACTGGCTCTCCACACTGCAAAGTCTCAGAGTTCAGTTCATGTTGTCATACTTCTTCACTCTCTCTATATTTTATGCCCTTCAGCTCCTTCAAAATGTTTCCATGGTAAAGTATCCATCACGTTGAAGGTGTCACTTATTAGATACACTAAATACCATAAAAATCGTACATTTGGAAACCACATTTCATCCCTTGAACACCACTGTCTATAATCAGATTTATAAATACATTTTACCCTAACAAGAAGCTTGGACAGAATTTGTTTTTTAATTTGATGTGATTCCTCGGTAGTTATAACAGAACTGTACTGGCAAATGTTAAGTTTTTGAGATGTACAGCTTCACAAATCAGTCATGAGCTACTAACGTTCTCATTTACAAAGTCGACAGTTTCAGTGCTAACCAAGATGTTCCTTATCTTATCAGAGGCTAGAATAGGGTGTGTTTAAGTGTGCATAACGCATTGTGTAATACACACACCCACACAAGCACAGGTGTGTATGGTCATTCACGGTCAAGTCAAGGACCAGATCAGCACAGATTCAAGTTTCTATTCTCATCTCAGTAAAATACACATCAAATTAATTATGAAAAGGATACTATAAATAGGGCTTGGGAAAGAATTGTAACTTCATATAAAGCAGTATTGTAGAGCCTTTAACATATAACAGGCCAAAAAATTTTCTTTTAGATTTCTGTAGGAAACATTTTCTGAAGTGCACACTACTAATATGTGTGACAGTTCGGTGATACATTTTTTAATTGAGTCAGTTGATTGTCAGAAAACGATGAAGACATGTTTCTGAAAGATTCTGTGTTTATGATATGCAGTCTCTTCATTCAATTCTGTTTAATACAGTGATTAATGGGACAAATTGTTTGTTTTCACAAACTGGTTCACTTGTTCCAGTTAAGCAGAGATTTTTACACATTTAAAATGTAATTTGAATATCACATTTCATGTTCAAATTCACTTCATGGGCCAAAATAATGATCTGCACCTATTAATAATATACAGTATATCCATATTATACAGTCTCTCAGGTTTAAGTTTCTTCTTGGCCACTGATGATAAAAGTTTTACTCATGACATGACAAACTGTGTATAAAATTATAAAAATGTCCATTAGAAATCACTTTACATCACTTTTTTTTTTTTTTACTAGTTTTCTTTTCTTTTTTCCCATCTACTCCAGTAACAGGTGCTTCGTCTTTCTGTGCGGCCCTCTTTTTTGCCTTCTCCTTCACCGTTTCCATGGTATCCCAAACCTCATCCTCCTCTTCCTCTGCTTTCACCTCTTCTACGTCTCCACTAAAATCAGCATTTGAGGACTATAAGAGAAAAGCACATAAATAGTCAAGCGTTTAAGTCATTAGGATGCAGTATAAAGTCTTCAGCGAGAAAGCAACTTCCATTGTTGTTACTGTTGATAGGCAGTTACATAAAGCAAATCATCAAAAAGGATGCTCCCTCTGACACTGAACTGCTGCTTACCTCCAGTTCTCTGCTAGACAGCAGAACACAATTGAGTCGTGACTTCAGATATACCTGCACAGAGAAAATATGTGCATTTATACAAACACGACAGTGAGTGGGAGGCACTTCTGATTATATGGTACATGCAATTAGATGGAAAAAAAGAGGAGAGGGGCTATGCAGAAATCTGCAGAGAGAATAAAAATGATGAAGCGCAGGGAGAATAGAGAAAGAAACACGATTTCTTGTGCATCCATACCTTGTGCTGTAAGGAATGGTCTTTCAGGCTGTGTACTCTCAGAAAACGATCTAAACCACAAGAGGCCACCAATGGGAGGGAAGGATGGCACTGCAACCCACGCACTGCCCCCGCCAGACCCTTAAGACACCCACACACAAGCCCTGCAGGCAGAGAGAGAAGAAAATGGGGTCAGACAAAACAAAACTCTCAGGAGTTCAATAATATTACAGCGCATATATAGAGAACAGCTGGCCAAATACATCCTTTATACTTGGAACACACACAGATCCAGGACAAAAAACCCTAAGCAATGGAGCTTCAGTTCAAAACAACTGGTTTCATGCAGATCCAAGCCTGCCTAAGAGAACAAAATAAACGGAGCATCCACCTACTGCTTACCTTTCCGGAGGTCAAGGATGGCGAGCTCCCCATGAGTGTTGCCCACGACCACTGTGCCCTGGTTGGCAGGAACAGAGAGTGCTGTGAGCGGGTACTCTCCAAACCGAGCCTCCAACACTGGCCTTCTCTGAGGCGTCGAGGGGTCATACACACGCACCTGACGGAGGAGGAGCAGAACAGAGAGGGCAAGATATTTTGAGTCATGTTTGATCACAGATGTTTACCTTAAAACACAAAGGAAGACATGAATAAATACAATAGCAAAGGGTTAGGGACAAGCTGAAAAAGATGATCAGCTCACAATATATTTCAGAATCTTTCGTAACTATTAAATCTAAGCCAGAACACCCAGAATTCAGTTGGTGAGCATAAAGAGACTTTCAAGAAAATGTAAAAAAATTAAATAAAATCTTACTGACAACAAACTTTTGAATGATAGTGTACATAAACTCAGGTATTCACTGTAAACAAAAAAAATCAGATATATGATATTTATAAATTAAATCATTTGATTCCAGATGGAATAAATGTGTCCAGTGTAGATAAAGTGTAGGAAACAACAGTAGACAAGCGCACATAGATAAAGCCAGAGTAAAGACAAACCTGATGGTGTCCAGTGCATGTGACTATTTTATCTGAATCTGGGATAAAGCCAATGTCTCTCACCCACACGGGCACTCGCATATCCAACCAGTCATGAGCTACCTGATGGATCAAAGAAAAAAAAGGAAGAGCTTGAAACACAAAGCTAATAAACTAGTGGGGTTGAAAAGGTTTGAGTTTTTTTTTCTTATGCCTTACATTTTTGGCTGTGAATATTGGCTTATCTGGTCTCTCCAGATCCCAGACTTTCAGCGGGTTCTCTTTACCCCCTGTAGCCACACAATGCCGCTTTGATTGGTTCTGTTGCATTCTGCATATTCCATTTCCAACATTTACCTCAGCCTAAGAACAGAGACAGATGAGGTTGTTTGAGATTTACTGTAAGTCCACATTTATCTTAAGAGACAAAAAAAATTATCATAAAGATGAAGAGATCATCATACATTATTCAATCCTAATCTACAATTCAAATAGTAGAAGCAGCGCTACTACTATGCTACTAGCTATATAAGGAACAACAAGTAAAATAGTCAGTGTTGGGTCACTTTATGTGTTTTTAGTTGAAGAGACAGCACAATAAAACATCTCCTCCCATTTCTTTTAAACAGTCAGACCCCTCATCTGACCAACAATGAGTAAATAAAAATGAACAAATATACATGCAAAAATATATGGAGGCGATACATACAAAATATATACAAAAACCGCTTTTGACTGGTTCATTTCTGAAGATCATCATAATTAAAATGCAGTGATAAATGACAATTAAAATTTTATATAATTTTGCTTTTATGTGATATTGAGCTGTTTGTGGGTTTATATTATGGGGACAAAAACCCTTTTAATGTACTGTACTGAAAGGCAACCTAATGTCTACTCTATCTACTTTATCACAGTAACATGCAAACAAATCAAGTGATGAATATAACTGTCTATATATACACACTACTAACGTAGTATTTATTTATTTTTTGCTTTTTGATCCTGAAATTCACCCTGAATCTGCAGGGATTCATTTCTAGATGCAGAGAGATTAATGTTAGTTTTCATTTTTTCAGCATTTTTAACATTTTATGTTTAGTAAACAGTCCTGTAGTGTGACAGATACATTTTTAAAGTACAAACATTTCAAGTAGCATTTCTTTTATTAACATAAGACCATACAAGTGCATGTATAACAATTATAAAAGAAATTGGAATAAAAAAAATCTTAAAATCAAATATAGCACACCACACTGACTTACGGTTTCTGTACTTCCTTCCTTCCACACCTTCAGCAGTCCTGACTCCACACATGTAATCACAGAACTGGAAAAGAAGGAAAGAAAGTACTTCATTCCTACAGTACATCAAAACATCCAGTAATTCATCAGCATAACATGATATTGGCAACCACCTGTCAGTGACAGCCAGTCCTGTGAACCTGCCCTGTGAAGGATCTCCACACTCTCTGGTCGCTGTGAAGATTCCCTTATCTGTGCTGAAAGTTTTCACAGTGCCGTTCACACTGCCCACTAACACCTGCAAAGACATACACACATAGACAGCGTCTGTCAGCCACTAAATCATGGTGATGAAGTCTGCTAGTCCAGTTCTCTCTCTTTCTCACCTCTGATTCGTGAGGGTCTCCCCATGCCATCACACAAACCTCCTGATCCCGACTCATGCAGCTCATCTCACAAAAGTTAAACGCCTGCTTTTTGGTTAAACTTACCCCTTGAGATGAAATATGGATAATAACAAATCATTAGTTCAGTGGCCCTCAAGAAAATTAAATGGCAGATATGTGGTGCCAACTCACGTGTACCATACATGGCTAGCTATCCAGTCATAAAAAGTACAATATGTCGACAAATAGACGGAAATCCATTTACCTTTTAATATTCCAGTCTCGGATCCAAGCCATATTGAGCATATTTGGCTATTTGCAGCCATTTGAAAGAAAACGAGTGATTTTGGAGTTACTGACTTAATAAAAACAGATCTCCACGTTACTGTCGCACACAACTACGTCCGGCTGTAACGCGCAACCTAAGGACTTTTGGTTCCGTCCCCCACTAAGACTGGGTTTACTGACGCTAAACATCAGTGCGAGTTTCAGCATGTTGTCATGCGATTACATTTACTACAGTTGGATGAAAGTATTATAAACTATCTCGATATGTAGTGTTTATCCTACAATTTTCACTTTTTTCACTTAAACACAAAATATATTAGATATGAGCAAAGAAAGGGACTTTCTAGGCACTAGGCAGAATGTTAGGGATGTCTTCCATGGAAGAAAGTAAGCCAGACAGGTTTTATAACAACATGAAGGTGAGTAGCTTCTTTTTTTTATTAATTAATTAATTAATTAATTAATTATTGTTTTATTTTTTGTGAAGTCTCCCTTTTATTTCAGTTAATTCTGCTATAAAGACATGGCTGCTAATTTACAGATAGGTGTGACTATATATTAAAATAATTAAAATAAAATCGTTATGAATAATTAAATTCCATCATCCCAATAACTGAATATTCTTTTTTATAAGTTTTGAACACCTTTTATTATCAGTTAATTTACGTGACATTTCTACTTTGTAATTTTTTTTAACTAATAGCAATTTCTACCCAATAAATTCCCCCCCCCCCCCCTATCTTTCCATCCCCCCCATTTATATGACTTCTCTAAATCTAGAAATAATGCTTTTAAAAGTCATCCGAAATCATGTGAACCCTGGTTCTTAAATAAAAATGTCAGTCGTTAAGGGAACAAATTAAAAGAAGAATGATTTCAGCTTATATCTTGATTATCTTATTTTAAACCTTGTTTTGTTTTATTTTAATAATTGTTAGTCATCTCCTTGGAAGTGTGCTGGGGCCCCCTGGTTAAAAACCACAGCTATAAGGAATTAGCAACACTAGCTGCACCAAATGGAACTGCAAAAATAATGATTGTTTTCAAAAAGTTTCCGCAGACACTCCTTTATTTATTTTGTAACAGATTGAATATTAATTTTTAAACAAATCTAAAACACATATCAGCACTTAAGTAACTAAATCAGTTGCGGCTGCCCTAAAATAGCATTTCATGAAGGACAGTAAAGAGAGGAGGCTTTCAGAGTATGAAAGAATCCAGCAGATGGTACTCTTGGACTCCATTAGAAGAGCACCCACATAGCATACTGGAAAAATCTGTCAAAGGTGTTGTATGTGCTTTAGGATATTTGTCAGTTTTTCTGAAAAACAGAGAATGCTGCCTATATTGCTGCAGTAATGTAAGCAATAAAAGCAAATTAGAAGCCTTAATGTTGGAATGATCCAGTCTCTTCTCCCTGGGGAGCATGTCAATCAAGTTTCAATATTTCCCACGCTTTAAAGAACACTATAAACAAAGATGGAGACATTGTGGGGATGATTTGAAAACATAGCTAATGAGAGAAGAAAAGAAGTTCCCCAGGGAGTATTCATTGAAAATGGACTTGACACTATATCTAAATGAGGTGGCTGCAGGAAACCCAGACATATTCAAAGGTGTGATATTATACAGTATGAACCTTTTTTATAAGCAGGTTTTCTACAGTTATGGAAAAACTGGAAATATTAAGTAGAAGAAGAAGAATTAGGTTAGTTTCTTGTAATTACGCATACTTTACTGTTATTATTATTGTAAGTACATGTAATATGTAACAAGAACACTGTAAAATAGTGTTAGCTAATATAGCCTATTATAATAATTATTATAATTAATAATATTATGAATAAATATACTAATTATAAAAATTATATAATGGAACTTATAATGGAATTTATTTTTTTTTAATTGACTAAAATACTATATTTTTGTCTTACTGGAGATATTTGTACACTAATACATTTTTATCTTTTTAATCTATTATTTTTTTTTATTATTATTTATCATAAAATCATGGAATTTCACAGAATTTTTAGAACCCTGCATGTGAAAAAAATGAAAAAACAGATTGTGAATGAAAAAAACAACTCTGTTCTACTCATGATCTTTGAAGACATGACTGCAGATTTGACTAAAAAGAAAAAGATGGAATCAAACCTTACTTCATCCTCCTGCAGTGACAGAGACGCACTTTCATCAAGAAGGTAACTATTGTATGAGAGAGAGACAGTAAGAAAATAAAAGAGGGAGGGAGAGAGAGAGAGAGAGAGAGAGTGAGAGACAAACAAAGGAAGCCAAAGAAGAAAAGCTTCCTCTGCCCCCTCATATCTCTCCAGGGAATGAGAGAGTAGGGCAGAAAATAGAGGGACGGAGGAAGGGAAGACTGTTGACTGTAGTTGAGCACTGAGATCAGAGGTAATATAACATCACATTTTAATTCTAATCAAAGAGATGTGGATGAGAGAGAAGGGCTTTTCTGTTGGTTCTGCTTTTGAGATCAAATACCAGCAGGGAATGCTTGAATTCGTAAAAAACTGAGAATGGCAGAGAAGGAATGAGAGCGAGAGAAAGCGGAGGATAAATGGGTAAGGCAAATGGAGGGGGGAAAAGAGAAGAACGCTAAGTTAATTAAGTGTCAGACTTCAGAAAGCTGCGCGGGATCAAAAGCATGAGATAAAACAGAAAAATATGGCCAGCACATTCATGCATGTTTTGCTTCTTTCTGCTGTTTCATACCTGGTCGCAGAGCACCCAGCAGCCAATGAGAGGCTGTGATGGGACCAACACTGACACCCAGAGCAAAGCAGACCAGAGATTTCTGACATGGTGTCGACCCAGATTGATGAGAGGAAACTGAGGGGAGAGAGGACAGACATAGACAGACTTGCACCGCTGCTTCAGAAAACACAGGTAAATGCTCTTGTTCTTTCATTCTGTCATGTATCACAGCTAACTTATTTAACCATTCTTCACGGTCATTTTGAACGTCTTTGTTTATTCATGTTTTCACTGTTTAGAAGAATTGAACACCATTACAGTTTTGTTATGGATTCATGCACAGCTGCAAATGCAAAAATTGGCACATTTTACTTCTTTTTTTTTTTTTGCATTAGCCAAATCCACCAGTACAAATTTTAAATAAATGCAATAGTGTCTTGGAAATGCACATGTCTGCAAAGCCTTGTATAGATTTCTCTGGATAATAATTTATAATAAAAAAATTTTTTGGCTACAAATCCGTACTAAGCAAGCTACTCAAACAAAGATTTTTTTTGTAAAAATAATGTTTTGTTTACACTTACAGTCTCAATGACTCATTTTGAAGTCACAAATTCCATCTAAAGGAGTGATTTTAAATTTTTATTAAGATTACATTGTCATTAATGTGTTCATGTTATTATCCATAATACCAAATTATCAGCACTTAAAACTGATCAATTATTTTTCATTCTAAGAGAGGATATGGATCAAGACCTGTCGATTAGATCTACAAATGTGTCCAGTTATTGTTTAAAATGACAACACTATGGCAGTTAAAATGTGTCTAATTGTAATTACTGTTCAACAATCATTCATCGAGTTAGGGCCAAACACATTCATCCATTACTTTAGACACTCTTAAAAATAAAGTTTCTTCATTGGCATCAATGGTTTCATGCAGAACCTTTAACATCTATGAACTTTTCCATTGCATAAAGGCTTTTTATATTACAGATTATTAAAATATTCTTCACACTTTAAAAAAAATGGTTCTTTTAAGAACTGTTCACTGAAAGGTTCGTTGGGGAACCAAAAATGGTTCTGCTATGGCATCACTGCAAAAACTCCCATTTGGAAGCTTTATTTTTAAGAGTGTAACTCGAATCAATGTCTGTTTTTCAGAATGTATACCGAGGACATTCATCCTCTGACGTGCCCACAAGATATTTTTTAAGGTGTTCTGCTGTAAATAAGGTGTGTGGACCCAGTGTGCAGCACTAATCTTAGAGCCGGGGGAGGGGAGCGATTCTCCACATACATACAAACCCCCTTCTGCCAATCAGAGAGAAAGACAGAGAGGGAGAAGGAGAGCAAGTGAAGGAACAGGGGAGACGGCAGAGAGACTGAAAAGAGGAAACAGCTCTAACAGTTATCTTGGGTGGACAGAGAGGAAGAATTACACACAAATACACACTGTCCAGCCACACGTTACAAGACGCTTCAGCCAGCGGAGGCGGATAACCAGCCAGACGCCTCATATCTGCAGCTCCAGACCAAGAAGATTCCTCTCTAATTCTATCCCGACTTCATCCTAAGCTGGACCGCAAGCTTTAAGAGGAGAGACAGAAGAAGAGGGAAGTGCTTTGTAACTTCCTTGAAGGTGGTGAGAGTGTAAAGAGAGACAGAGAGAGAGAGCAGGGGAAAACTCCCCCTCGCCCTCTCTCGACCCAGATCACCGTCAGGCTGGCTGGCACAGCCATGGCCTTCACCTTTGCGGCCTTTTGCTACATGTTAACACTCGTGTTGTGCGCTGCCCTCATCTTCTTCGTCATCTGGCAGGTACGTCTGTAGTTTTAGACCTTATTTGTACGAGTTCCTGTTACCTGTAACACTGTCACACTTCCATTTCAATTGGCATCGGAATCCATGTCATTGCCAAGTGTTTGACTTTGTGAGTGTGAATGTGTGTATGCGTGTGTGTGTTCGTGCCAGTTTTTGAGCACAGAGACTGGTGTGTCCAAGCTGTCTCCACTGCCCTTAACAAGAGGCCTTATCCTTGAGGTGAATACAAATCGCGGCAGTTATTAATAGAGCAGACATTCTGAGTCATGGAGGATTGATGATTTACAGAACAAGTAGATGGATACAGAAGAAAAAACGGAGGAAAGAGGCGGGAGCCTACCTGTGTGTATGTGCACAGTCTGCACACAAATGCACACATACATACAGTCAATAATGTAAATGTGAATCTCACAAAACCTTAAGAATGATTGCACCTGGAAAAAAAATTAAGAAATGATATTTTACTTTGAAAATGAAGGATATTTTTAGGACCATTATTTGAGATATTAAGCACATTACTTTTAAATCACATATTTAGTTTAATTTAGCAATTAAGCACATTAATTCTCCATACTGTATACATATATATAATCATTTATATATAATATATATGAAAAATATGTGCTTTAAAA